TTGTGTTGGCAGTATTTGAACATGAGTGCATAACAAAAGGTTTTTGTGGAATTGCTGCTGTAGAAGAAAATAAATAGTCCTGAGCCTATACAACCACCATGGTGGTGATACGACTTGCTCTGCACTTACAAGTGGCAAATTATTTTTCCGTTGGCTATATTTGTAGTCCAAGGACAGGTGATAAAGCTATACTTTGATTTTTGGAGGCATTTCATCCAGAAGTGTCAAACACCTCTTCAGACCCATCCATGTTGGGCTCCTGCAGGCAAATGTGCTCCGACAGTAGGAGACTCTTAGAGGTTAAATCCACAGTTATGTGTTGAAACTAATGAGAGTGCCTCATTCCAGACTGCATTACGCTTCTGCACGTGTTTGAAGGCTGGCTCAAAAAGCAGCGATGATAAGAATTCAGTAACTATCTGGATGGATGAAGATGGTGCTCTGTTCTGTTGTGTTTGAGGCAGTGCTTTGAATCATGCAGGACAGTCTGTGGTTCATAGAGCCGTGCTTTGGGAAAGCTCAGGAGAACTGACAGAAAACAAGACCTGAACCTGGGTCAAATGCAGCTCTCTGGAGCTCTCATCTGAGCTGCTAACGATTGCAGCTTTGATAATGGAAGGGTGCTTCATAGAAGATAAAAGCTCATGCAGTAGCTAATTTGCCTTGATTGCCTTCTTAATCACCTCGGCTTAGTTTAAAACTTTGGAAAGATGAGATGTGGGACAGGTGCTTCATATTCAAGTGGGAGCTCGGGAGTGGCTGGTGTCATGTAGAGGAGGCAGTGTGCTAGGAAGAGGCAGTCATGAGAAGAGCAAGGTGGGCTGTTTCAGAAGCCGCTCTGCTAATAGCTTCCTTTTCCCAGGTATTCTCCAGGAATAGGGATTCTTCTCCATCATTAAGCATAAATCACAGCAGCAGGTCTTGTAAACAAGAGAATTCCAGGAGGAGGACTTTAGCTGGAGAAAAGTATAATCCCATGTTTGCACCCTTGCTTCTCTAATGCTCTGCTGAGGCACTTTGGAACTGCTGTGCTGTCATGGCTGTATGAAAGGACGGAAGGAGAAATTGACATTTGGAGCTGCTGTAGCACCTCAGAGTGTCTCTCAGACCTGTGATATTAGGGAAAGGGAACTGTGATGTTATGAGCCCATTCCTTGTGCTGTTCAGAAGTTGCATTTGTAGAACTAGAGATGAAGCAGCCAAACAAAGGTGGATGTACCCAAACCTGTGGTACGCATACAGCTGCCTCCCGATCTCAGCTATCCCCTTGCCTTGTATGGAATCAGGGAAATGGCAAGCACCTGCTTTTGCAATACATAGAGTGAGCCAATAATAGGCTAATTGAGAGTTTGTCAAACACATTTGTAGCATGTATCACCTGTTTGGGAGTTTGTGTAACTCTTTGGGCACTTTTAGCGAATGTGAGATACTGCTCATTAAAAATGCTGGTAATTCCATGCGCAACGTCCTTAAATGTAAGCTGTACGTATGCGTACACACACCGATCATCAGGCGAAATACGTTGAAGCAATCCTTACGGTTCGGTAGTGGCCGCCAGATGGCGGTGTGCTCTTACCGCCCACCCGGCGGGAAGCTGTGCGGGCTGAGGGCGCAGCAGGGCCGGGCCCGGCGGCACCGCGTGGGGCGGTCAGTGCAGATAAGGGCTGTGCTTCATTGTGATCTGCTCCGCTTTTCCTTGAGGCGCTAAGAGAAACGTGACCTGGGAGCTGGGCATCGATTTAAAGAAATTCATCAGTCGGTCTAGCAAGCTCTAGCCATGGATCTGTGCCCGTGATTTTTCTGTGGATGGAGTTGCAGAATTTGAGTTAGCAATCATAGAATCACAGAACGGCTTGGGTTGGAAGGGACCTCAAAGCCCACCCAGCCCCACCCCGATGGGGCACCACAGCTTCTCTGGGCAGTGCCAGTGCCTCGCTGCCCACTGAGTGGAGAATTTTCCCCTCACGTCTAACTTAAATCTCCCTTATTTTATTTTAAAGCCATTCCCCCTTGTCCTGTCACTATCAGAGGGTGTAAAACGCTGACTCCCTCCCACTATAAGCTCCTTCAAGTACTGAGGTCTTCCCAGAGCCTTCTCCAAGCTGAACAATTCCAGCTCCCTCAGCCTTTCTTCCCAGGAGAGATGCCCCAGCAACCTGAGCATCTTTGTGGCCCTCCTCTGGACTTGCTTCAACGGCTCTGCGTCCTTTTTCTTCTATGGGCCCCAGGACTGGATGCAGTACTCCAGACAGGGCCTCATGATGGCAGAGCAGAGGGTGAGGGGAGACCAGGAGATGCAATTCCAAACAGCTTGAACTGATAGCTTTTTCTTTGTTTGAAAGCAATGCTCCCTTGCGCAGCTTTATTTTCCAACAGAACACCTTGGGAATGGCTTCCCATGGGAAAGGGCTGTGGGGGCAGTGTCAGCTTAGATAATCAGTGTTCCCTTAGTTAATGAGGGTACTTATGGTTTGATTCCTTGCAACCATCTTTTTTTTCTGTCTGAGAAGAAATTTTCTTTCTTTACCTCAACTACTGTGTTCAGTTTTGGGCTTCATCCCTGGAGGTGTTCAAGAGCTGTGTGGATGTGGCACTGAGGGATGTGGTTAGTGAGCATGGTGGTGGTGAGCTGATGGTTGGACAAGGTGATCTTAGTGCTCTTTTCCAACCTTAATGATTCTTTGATTATTTATTGCTTGCAGCAAATAGTAATTTTCTTTTGAATTAACAGTGAGTGCTAGAGAGAAGGAAAAAGCTCTTGGAAAATATTTCTCAGAGGGGAAAAAATATGGCAAATGAATCAAATAATAAAATTCAGAGTGAGTGGTGCTGTGTTTTAGTACCTACCTTTTGTTTTTGTGTCGGGAGGGGTAAATTATGCCACATGGAACACACTTAGGCTTGGATTCATCCATGCCCACAGCTTTGCCTCTCCATACAAAAGAGAAAGGAATGCCCTTACTATTAGACTCTGGCTGCTGCCTTTGCAGTGCCTTGTTATTGCGGGCATGCTTCCTGATGTGCAGCCTCATCATGCAGCAATCTGCTGTCGTGGTTCCAAAAATCCTGAGTCATTTCTCAGATGCAAACCTTTTGAAGCTGCTGGTGGAAGTCCCACTGGCTTCATTGCACCTCTTTATGCATGTGAGGCTGTGATGAAGTGGTGCTGTGCTGAAGAAAGATGCTTTTATTATCCCATGCCTTGCTTTCCATTCTTGGATCATTTTGGACTTTTTTCTCCTTAAGAAAGTGTCCTCTCTCCTCCCTCCCCTGCGCTGTAGCCCTTAGAGCAAAGCACGTTTTCATCTGCTCACAGCTTCCTTCTGACAAATATTTTCTTTTTGTGGCAACCACACCCTTTGCACAGAGTGCAAGCTGTGCAACTGCCCCAGCCTCATGAGCTGTGGCTCTTATTGCTTGTGGTGTGCTTCCAGCCTGCAGCACAGCTCTTTGCTCACAGAGCCCAAGGATGAGCTGTGAGACCTGGGGCATCCCAACTGCCTTCACCAGGGCTGCTGCCAGTGTCAAGTTTGCAGCCAAAGGCAGTAAGAAAGGAGCTTCTCTCTGCACAGATGCTACAGAGGGATGCTATATCCTGAGTTATGTATCAGCCTTTAGAAGTGGAGAACTAACTGACGTGCATAAGATGCAAAGGAATCCTTCATTTTTCAATTAGGCTTTTTTTTTTTTTATTTCAACCAATAGCTCAACAAGTGCTAAAACTTCCGCGGCAGTTTAATCTGGAACATAGAGTTGAGAAGAAAAATACCTTCTATAGCTTTACAAAAATATAAAGTTTTTTTTTTTTTCTTTTAAATCCTGCACATGAAGCAAGCACACTCCAACTCAGCAAAACAGACACTACATCTTAAACTGCAAACCTCTGCTCAGCAAAATGACATTCTACCCCAGGGCAGCAGGCACAATGTATAAACGATACAGAAACAGAGCAGGGAGACGTGGTACAGCGTTCCAATCACTTCCATCCCTTTTTAAAACCAGAACGTCTTCAAAGAGTTTGCCTAAGAGCTTCTTCAGGTTGGTCCTGCCAGTTGGTCCTTGAGTAGGACATCACTGTGGTGCTAAGGGGAAATGAGCATTCACCTCTTGGTGATCAATGAACGTGCCACCATCCACTGTTTCACATTAAAGCTGCTGAGCTTTGGGAGGGGACAAGTTGCTCAGTTTGCTGCTAAGGCACTTGCTGCTTAACTCCTTTAGCAGTCAGGGCTGCCAGCACATGAGGTCAGGCTGATGGAACAAAATGAATGGAATATATTGTATCACAAATGCATATGCCTTGCAGCGGTTAATTTAGTGCCTGATGAAATGGGAAGATCAGGGGAGTTCAGCGCCTAGTTCCGTGCCCGTAACCAAGCAGAACTCTCACAGAGCACAGGGACTGATAAATAAACTGCGTGCTCTAAAGGCTGACATAACTTTGTCCAACTTGGCTTCTGTTGACTAACAGCAAAATAAAGGGAAAATATAGACCCAAGCAGGAAAGACGGTACAGCACATGCTAAGAACCTAAATCACAGAATTATGTTTCAAGTCAGTGATACAAATAAACCAGAAAAGCCATTATATACCAGAGCCAAAACAAACCTGAATTGGATTTGCAATGCGTTATGAAGGTCTTTTTCTAGTGCTTCCTTTTTAACCATCTCTAAATGATAGGAAAAATAAATGTATTTCATGTACAGTTTGCACAATCTGTGTCATGTTTGTATATAGTGTAGCCCCATGTCTGGCAAACCTAGATCTTTGGAAGCCTGTGCTTCATAACAAGGATTTAACTGTTGTTGTAGTGCATATGTGAATGCACTTTTTTGAGGTAAGAACAAGACAGGTAGTTAAAGAATCACAGAATCCCTGGAAGGGATCTCTGAGGGCCATCTAGTCCAACTCCCCTGCAGTGAACAGGGACGCCACAGCTACATCAGGTTGCCCAGGGCCTGATTCAGCCTTGCCTTGAAAGTCTCCAGGCATCTACGACATCACTGGGCAACCTGTTCCAGTGCCTCACCACCCTCACTGCAAAATATCTTTTCCTTGTATCTAACCTAAATCTACCTTTGAGCTTGAAGTTCTCTTGAGACTGTTGTAAGACTCCTGACATAAAGCAATTAAAGCAGTAATCAGCTGTGGCCCAATGCCCTGGTGACTACAGAACATCGTGTTATGGGGTGACTCCTTGGCATTGGGTTCAGGCCTGCTTTACTGGGATGAGTGGGTTTCAGCCAGGACTCAGCTGTGTGGCTGGTACATAGGGAAGGATCAGGGTTTAACAGCTCTCAGATATTTGTATTTTCCAGAGATGAGACTACCTAACTACCAACTTCACCACTAACTACCTGGTTAGTGGTGAAAGAAGCTTGTCTCATGTGGTCAAAGGAATGCCACACCAGGCACATCTTTACATGTAAGAGCTAACAGGAGCTCGCTCACGGAGCTAAGTCTTAAACAGAAATGAGAAGCTAAGCCACTGTTTGAAGAGATGTGTCTGGGATCTTGAAATAGCTCAATAACTCATCTGGAGATGTGCTGGTGGATATCTGCTGACTATAAAAACAAAGTCTAGCTTGAGAAAACCAAGCTCCCTTCTGTTTCTTGGGGCTTGACTTGCCATAGTGAGCTGGCTTTCAGCTCCTTCTGTCAGGCTGAAGGAGAATCTGGTATCAGGTGTGTGGATGAGCACTGCTGAGTCATCCTAGCCTCCGATTCTGACTCGAGCTTTCGTGGGCTTTCTTCAGTTTTTCATGCCTGAGAACAAGCGTGAAAGATGTGACTGATCTGGCAGCGAGAGCCTGTGGTTGTGCCTCCTCATGCTGCCTCAAAAGTGGGTGAGCGGATTTTGTTCCCACTCTGTGGAAATCCCTGCCAAAGGCTGACGCCAGCTTGGAACAAACTGTGCAGAAGGCACGCGCTGTGAGGAGGCAGAGAGCCTGAGTATGGCCATCTGCTGCCTAGATGGCTTTTTCCTGCTTGTTCGGCAAGGAAAACCCATTTATCATTGTTTCCAAAGCATGCTTTTGCTCTAGCATACAGTATGGAGACTCACCTACGTAAAGCTGAAAGCTTTATTCAGGATGAACTTTTCCTATGACTCTGGGGATGACCTCTTAGAAGGTTCTTTCTCCTGTAGCACAGGACTGGGCAGCTGGGAGCTGTGACCTCACTCCCTGTACTTCTCTCACAGTTCCTTCTGGGAGCCAGCATACTCATGCATATCAGTAAATGCCTCAAGGCTGAGCCATGTCCTCAGTTACTCCCCATTAATATGGGGATCGTGGTTCATCCATGAACTGTACCTCCTTGCTGGCCCTGAACACCTCCCTCACCCTCTCTGCTTTCACTCATGTAATGTATATACATATAAGTATGTGTATATGTATATACATATAAGTATGTATATAAGGATGTACTGACCATGGGAAATCTGTGGGTTTCAGGGCAAGCTGCTGCTGATGGAACACATCATCTGAGGGCTCTGCCTATTCAACTCTGCCAGCAGCGACTGCTCAAATCAATGTGGGTTCAAGCTTGGTGAAACCACAGTGCATGTTGGGACTGCCTAGCAAGGAGAAAAGCGGGGAGGCCACGGCGTTGTGCAACTCCTGCTCATGGCTCTGGTAGGCAGGGCCGGTCTCATCCATCAGACCATGAGGGCCTGCTTCCTGCTGCGTTCTTGCTCTTTAAAGTAGCAGCAGTACTGGAGCTCATGGTGGGCTTGCTGCTGAGCTGCTGAGTTTCCATCACTTGTTCCTAAAAAGACCACTTACATCACTGAAACCAGGTGGCTAAGTAGGGCTGCATGTCATTAGATCTGCTGCTTTCATTCACCCACCTGGTTGATACAGCACCCAAGACACAAACACTGTGCATGGGGTATATAAGGCCTCATGAATATGGCAACAGAACACGTCATTGAAGACTTTCATCAGCAACTTACCTGTGCTGTGTATATCTGACAGAAAAAATGCTGCTCCTGTCTGGCTTTAAGGGGACTTGGTTCTAACCACTCGCTAGATACATAAGAAAGTGTTGAAGCAATTATGCAGCTACCGAAATTGAATGAGAAAATATTAAACTACTGGTTATTTTTACAATTTGATGACTGTAAAACAATTTAAATTACTTAAAATATCTTTTAATTGGAGATATCGACCATTTAGCATTGTCTCAGTGGAGGGCTGTTGACTTGCTCTTTCTTTCTGTGCTGTGCTGTGAGATCATGACCAGGTAAATCTGTGTGGGTTTCCATCCTATATACACATCTCTGCCAGAATCCTGAAGCCAAGAGGAAACTGCTGTCACTGATTTGTTCCATGGAGTTAAATTCTGATGAGAAACTGAGCGTTGGGCAGAGCAGTACCACAATGGTAAAATGGCAGAGACAATGAAGCAAGATCACAACGTTCACCCCAGCAGTTAAAAAAATAAAAAATAAAAGGAGACCCCCTCCCGCCCCCCAGAAGTCTGCAGTCCTAAAGTGCAATTACTTTTGTGCAGTCATGTCAGGCCAGGGATCAGACTGGATGAAGTTCAAAGCACAAACATCAAACGAGTGCTGTTCGTGATTCAGGGAGGGGGGGAAATAAGGAAAAGAACAACAGTTCTCAGGCATTCAAGTGCATCAAGAAAATAAACGTCCCTTTCTTTCTGAAGAAAAACAACCCTCAGTCTGTGGAATCCTGGCTTTGTAGTCATGAAAAATAGTTTTTTCACTTCTAGCTGAGAATGTCCCAATATGACACAGTACAAATAAACAACACCAAAGCAAGAATTGAGGCACTGGGATGTTTTGCTGGTCCCCCGCTGCTATACAGCCGTATTTTATTCTCCTCTGGTGACTCTTCAGATCTGGGTACGGATGAAGCGCACTGAATTAAAGGCATCTGGTAGGACGTGGCTCTCTTTTCCGGTCGGTCAGGGCTGGACCCATCGCTGGGTCGCTGGCCATTGTACAGCAAATACCTGCCCCTGGCATCCTGCTCCATCTTGAAGATTTCATACTCGGTGTGAGGCAGGCGGATGCCAAGCGCGATGCAGCCGTTGGTGTGGGTGACGTCTTGCTGCACCCCGACTTGCCAGGAGCCCTGCGCTCCGCACTCATTCCCATTGAAGACGTTGAGCAGAGAGGCTGTGGACACGTCCATCGGTGTGACCTTCATGTGGTTCACTGTGAGTGAGGAAGAGAAGAACTGTTAGCAGAGGAACAGAGATGAAAGCAAAGGTGACACGCTGACATCAGCCTTAGAGCCTTCTGCCTGCCCGCTCTGTACAACATGCTCCATGTCCTCTGCAGGCACAACCTTAGCATTCAATCAATGCATGCTATGGTCACTGAGGAAAGGAAACTGCAAAATCCTTCCAAAACTGACCCCTTTGTCTCTGTTCATAACAACTAATGCTAGTGATGTCATGGAGGGTTCAAGTCAGATGTGCTGCTTAATGCATTTAGAAACCAAGGGATAAAGCTATTTTGAATACATCTCAGTGTACGTGCTGGTGCTTCCTGAATTTATATTGGCCTGTCCTTTAATCTAACTGACAGGAGTTAAAGCAGCTCTGAATGTTTTTCCTTAAATCTTCTTTTTTTTTTTTTTTTTTTTTTTTTTTTATACATTGCATGTGGTCCAGCAAATCTATGCATTGTTTTACATCTTGATGTAATTACTTCTTGTAAAGAATGTGCATGCACCCAAACATTCAGCTGGAAAAAACCTGATGGCTCCATATCTCAGTCAGAGATTGAGCAGAGCTTTACATAAATTCCAGGCAATCCTTCCCAGATAAAGCCTAGTTGAGATGCATTAAAGAGGAAATGAGAAAACTCTACTCATATTTTATTAACATCCCTATTAAACCAGAAGTAGGGCTACTTATAACCTACATTTATCATTTTTAAACACATGTAAAGCTAGGGAAATAATAATTTTCAATTGGAAAATCTGTAAAATACCACATTCTCTATATATTACCTGTCTGTTTTTTTTTCATGACTTAAGTATTTCTGAATGATGGGGACCTTATCTAAACAGTGGCTGCAATATCAAGCAGAAATGTTGCAGCTTCTTCACTTCTAAGTTGCTTCAGGTGTGTTAAGTTTTACTTTTCAGCTGAGTTTAAGAAGCTGGGAAAAGCCAAACTGAATGGGCCTGTGGAAGCTGAACAGAGATACTTTGTGTGCCTTTATTACTGAATCAAGAAAAAAATTCGAAATGGATTGCTGCTGACCAAAACAGAAGTAATAACCAACCCTCATGCCTCCTAACACACCAGTCTCCCAGATTCTTTTGCAGGCCATTAACAATGTGCATGTCTTTTTATACTTGTTGGAAATTTTATTCTGAGGTTTTATAAGCAGATATTTGATTCAATGGCTTGACACTTGTTGTCCTGGCTGGCATAAGAGATAATCTATAGAGAGTGACCTGAAAGTTTTACTAGAACAAAATCAGTGACTTTGCTCTGTGAGGCAAGCTGGTATATTATAATCATGAAATTCAAGCAAAAACTGGATTTTACCCTAGGAGCTGAGCTTGAATGTGTGTCATACAACTGATAAGAGCAAAAGCTCCAACAGGCAAGGATATCCTGCCTCCTATGGAAATCCCAGATCAGTACATCCTTTCTTATAACTACTTTCCTAAATTGGAGACATGCAGGAAGCTATATGCTTCTCACATGGTAACTAAGAGGAGGAGGAGAGCAGCCTACAGTGTGCTTGGGGTTTTCACATGCTCTGCTGAGGCTGGTGCTATGGAGGGATGTTGTGTTTTGGAGATGTTTGTTTGTGTAAGTGGTTAAAACCACTGAGCTCTTTTTGAGCAGGCTGCCACGAGGCTGTTGGTATGAGATGACTCTTCAGCCGCAGGGACCTGGAAAGTGTCACCACTGAGTGTCGCTTCCTTGAGTATTTGAGGGGGTTCACTTAGATACATCTAGTCTGTTCTGTGGTGGGATTAATCAAAGCTGGCTTTGGAGACATCCCTACTTGCTCTAGGCCCTTGGAAGCTGATGAAATGACACACACTGCTGTATCTGTCTTCCAGAAAATTATTTATACCACCTATGGCCCTTTTCTGTCCACTGAAGGAGCCCTAGGACATGGATCTAATCTTGAGAATTTTGATTAGATGCCTGATGTCTGTCTACTGGACTCCAACAGCTAGTGATGCAAGGTCTTACTTCATTGTGTCTTAGAGATTTCTGTTTTTTTGCCTCAAATGAACCGTAGAATCACAGAAGGGCTTTGAGTGGAAGGGACCCCAATGATCATCAAGTGAGTATTGCCTCAGTGGCAAAAAATGCCATGCAGCTGCACAGTTGGCTGGGTGCTCACAGAAAGTCTTCCAAAAGAGCCTCCCATCAAATAACTCCCAAGAATAATCATAAAATAGTCCCACAAATAACAACAGGACTAAGTTGTCAGCCATTGAATTGTGGTGAGCAAGCTCTGCTTTGGTCCCCAACTACATGGCCACCTCTGCCCCCACACTACCTTTGAAGACAAACTCCGTTCCGCCCATCACTTTGGCCGAGTGCACTCCTCGGCTGTAGCGGCCTTTGGCATAGATGGTGAAGGTGGGATGCTTGCAGATGGGGTCTGAGTAGTGGTAGTAGTGGCCCTCCCAGGTGTTGTTGTTGTCATGGAAGATGAAGTGCCGCGTGAGGAAGAGGACCTCCGGCCGCACCTCACAGCGCTGGCTCACCCACTCGCCATGCAGCCCGATGGTCAGGTCTGCCTTGGGGGGCAGGATGGGTGGGTGGTGCTCATCTGAGCGGTAGATGATTCTGCACGCAATGCACGTGCGGTCATGGTTCTGAAAGAAAGCAGAGAGGAACCCTTAGGAGGTGCTATCTGCAAACAATGGCAGATAACCTGGGCATCAAGCTGTTTCAAGCAGGAGCGGAATTAGGAGATTAATTCCCACATATAAAGTGAACATTTTAGTTCAGCTTTTGATTGAATCTAGAAAAGGTTAACTGTATCCTTCAGACACACAAGACGTGGTCAGACTGTAACTTACTATGTAAGAGACTCGACGAGTCTGGTGTTAGAAATTATTACCTTTGTTCAGCTCTTTGCATCAGTTGTTAGCTTTGGTACTGCAGATGGACATAGGTGTCCTAAGTATGCTCTTCACATGGGCAGCAGCCTGGGAGAAGAGCCACCTGCTATTTTAGGCCTTGTCAGCTTTCCTGAGCACCAACTTGTGAGACATTTCCTTTCTCTATCTAGCAACGTCCCAACTGCAGCCTCTGCAGGTTTTCCTCTCCACGTCAGGCACATGACCCTGCTGACAGCAGCAAGGATAGGGAGATGTGAGTGAGCCTGTACAGAGCCTATGGTGCTCCAGGAAGCAGGCACAGCCTAGTGTTGCTGAACATGGTGAAAGCTTTATGGCTCCTTCCAGCAAGAGTAGGGTTTGCAGTGTCTGTCAGGCTCAATGAAGGCTTGCTGCTGAACTGTTCTGTTGAGCATAAGTCTCTGGGTGCCAAGTGTCCCAGTTTCCATGTTTGTGAGAGTTGAAGGTGTTTCACAATGTGCAGACAGGGCCTCTCAGAAGTGCTGCCCACTGTGCCCTGGCACGGGAGCATGACCTGGTGGGTTTCCTCACATCACCTCATCAATCTGAACAGCCATTGGGGAATGAGATGTGTACAGAACAAATACTTTTTCTTCACGTCCCTATCCAGCTCTCTTCTCTGCAATCTCTCTGAGCACCTCTCATTATACAGATGCTCAAATTCATCACTAATACTTTAAGGTCCACATGTGCCACTATGGAGTCAGCATTTCTCCATTTGCTATCTTCAGCTTGCAGCACATAACACAATAATATGACCATAGGTAGCTTCAGAGAATCAACACATGACTCAGGCAGTACATCCCTCTTGCACATATTAAATAGAGTGTATGTTTGCCTTCTCTTCAGATTATGTTGACTCAGAAAGTCAGTAAAAATCAATAAAAGTCTGCTGCTAGATTCACTGGGATGTAGACTAATGGTCTGTGTACAAAATGACAAGAAATCATAGAATGGCTTGGGTTGGAAAGGACCTCAGAGCCCACCCAGTCCCACCCCCTGCCATAAGCAGGGCTGCCCCCCAGCAGCTCAGCTGCCCAGGGCCCCATCCAACCTGGCCTAGAGCACCTCCAGAGATGGGACACCACAGCTTCTCTGGGCAGCCTGTGCCTGTTAAATGGTGTAGCCCAAATTCATCTGAACCAGTGTTGGCCCAAAGACCAGCTCTGAGGCGGAGCTCCTCCAGCAAAACTGCATAGACACTGTGTTACTGAAGTGGACTATTCTTTCCCTCTGCGGAGCCTGTTATGTAATTTTAAAATTCATGTTTCAGCATCTGCAAATGGATAGAAAGACCATAAGTATGAAGAATACTGAACTGAGTAGATGTAGCAGAAATGCAAAGTCATGGCCTGAACTAGTGATTGAGTACCTAGTGGGAAGGCAGGGCCAACCCAGATGAGCTCAGGTGCATACAATGCCCCTCAGTGACTGGAAGGGATGGAGTCAGGATCTTCTTTTCAGACCTTGTTGTTGGCAGAGGAGGCAAGGGCATCTTGTTGGAGATCCATGACTACTTGAGGCCTTCCAAAGGTAAGCAGCTTTTTTCTTTGCTTCAGTATTTGGGCTTGTTCTCTTGTTGCAGCCAAAGACTTTGTCATCCCACTACTATTGCTGTACTTTCCATCACATTATAGTGTTAAAGTAAGTGAACTGGAACTGGCAAAGTTAGCATGGTTTTGTGGCATTGTAATTAAAATCAGAAGCTAGTGCAAAATATTTAGTTCTCCTGGGCACCAAAGACACTAGTAACACACAAAGACTGTGAAACTGGGGTGTTAGAATCTGAAACTGCAGGTTTCAATTTGGGTTTACTGATGGTCAAGAGAGGAGTCAAGAGTCAGTGGCAGGTTGCCCAGAGAATGGCTTCCTATTTTGCTCCAGGTTTCTTGCATGGCTTTCCCATGTGACTTGATCTCAGTTTGTACAAACAGACAATTAGAGCTTTTTTGTTTGACGTAGGACTGGTAGGAGGTTAAAGACTGTGAGCTGTCAGAAAGCAGGCAGAAATTTTAGGTTATGTAAGTAGGTAAATAAATTAATAAAACAAACGTAGCTTAATGTAATAAACTTTCAAGCACAATATGACAGAAGTCCAGTGTCCTCCTTTCTCTTTGTCTGCAATAGACTCATCAGGTTTAATCTGCTGTCTTGTTTGGGACTTACCAAACTGGTCTGTTGAACTCTGCCTTCCTTTGGAGGATGTCAGGTCTCTTTCTCTTTGGAAAGCGGTCTGGTTTCACAGAACTACAAAATTTGGTGGTGTCCTTGTTCAGATATCTGAAGTGAGATGAGCCAGGTGCCTACCTCACACTTGTTCCTCCAGTGTTGCTGTCCCATGATGGAGCAGATGAATGCCACAGCTCTCTAAGTAATAAACTTTATCACTGTGATTGCCCCACTAGCATGATGGAAAGCAAGATGTAGAAAAGACAGCGTTATAGGAATAAGTGTTTCTGTTGCCTTTCTTCAAAATCTGAAGAAAAACACAAACCCTTCCTGTTGTCTTCCTGGTCACTCTTGGGTGTCTGTGGGATTTCTCTGTTATTCTTCAAATCTAGTGGGTGGACAAGAAGGAGCTCTTCAATAAGGAAGGACCACCAAGCATAAACATTCATTTTGCCATTTCTGGAGCAGTGAATTTAGGTTCCATCTCTCTCCTCCAGCATTAATACCCATTTGAATTATGAGCCAAGGCTCTGATGCCGGGCAGAGAGTATCAGCAGCAGTATCTCTTCCACTCCAGTGCCTTGCTGATTTGATTTGGGGTATAGCCTGATGAGATACCTAAATGCATCACTTCTCTGACATTAGTGCTTGAACCTAAGCCCATGTAAACCTTTTTCACTCTGATTCTATCTTCCACAGAGTTGCAAATTTCTCAGTGGAAGAATATGCCACATGTAAAATTCCTCAGTACAATTTCTGTCCAAGACGTGAGAAAGATCTGTTTTTCTTAAGAAACAATTGGACTTAATTATGTGTAATTTATGCTTATCAATTGATTGTATTTTTCAGTGTTGCTTTTTTCAGGTCAGCTGCTCTTGGCTCTTAATTACACTGGCTAAGGCTTTGCAAATCACTCCCTTTCCATTTGTCTCAGGAAAGATTAATCTCTAAAAACAGACGTTCAAAGAAAACGTGGAACAGAGGCAGAGGACATTTGAGTCCAAACACGATTAAGTACACTCAATAAAAAGCTCATTTGGGCATGACATAAACTAGAAAGCAATAAAGTGATCAGTGGACAAGATGAACATCTGTTTTATGTTTGGGATATCCTAGGTGTACAGTGCAGTATTTCTAACACCAAGGTCTTGCTAAAAGGAACAGCCCATGAAATGGCTGCTGCCCAATGACAGGCAGAGGGAAGGTGCCTCCAAGCAGCTCCCAGAACTGATCTGTGCAGGCCCAATTCCTCATTCTCCTGGGTGCTTCTCTGAAGCCAACTTCTGAATTAATCCATGAGGCCACATGGGTTGAAATGAGCCCAAATCTCTGGCTGGAAACTCAGTTCTTGTACTTGGGGAGAAAATAGTTTATGACCTGAAAATTTCCAGCAACATTTTTCCTTATCCCTCTCTCCTGCTGCCTCAACTGAAGTGGTAACAGGGCCAGGCTGCTCTGGAAGCCAAGGACGGAGATTTCTAATAAAAAAAAAAAGCAAACAAGGATGAGGTTACTTGATCTTTTTCCCAATTGCTGTGGATAGTCGGAAACACAAACCTTCTCAGCATATCCTACTTTTTCTCTTTAAATTCCATGTGATTCTGTGGCTGTCTAGGACTAACTCTCCTCTCATTAATTCATAGTATTTGTTACAGTCTAGGATAAAAAAAAAAAAAAAAAAAAATCCATCATGCAACCAGGATGAGTTCTCTGCAGTGGTAAAATGGAATTTGGATAGCATGTGGAAAGATCCCTCTGGCAGGCGTTCTAATTTTGTTTGAACACCTTTGTATTCTGACCCTGTTGTTGTCCAAGATATCTGTGGACCAAATGTACAGAGAATCTATCCTTCCCTTATGATTAAAGTAGAAGCTGAGCTCAGTGCTTAATATCAAGGAGAGGACTTGCAGGAGGTACTTCAAGTTGTATTTAGGGACCAAACAAACAAGAACTAGAAGGAAAGAGGAGGTTGAAAATATGTTTATTTTTAACTGAACACCCTGTTCAAATACATTTGCTCCCTCCTCTACCCATTTTTTTTTTTTTTTATGCTGAAAATGTGTCTGTATCTCAATCAAAAAATTTAAAAGCACTATTTGTCTGGAACAGCTTCAACTATAACTCAACTTTTTCCCTGTAGAATGCAGAGCATTCCTAGCAGAAAAGATTGGAAAAAAATAATTTGACACTTTCTCATCAGATTCTTATTAAAATGATGTGAAAATAACGAATATACACAATCTGGAGGAAGAGTGAAACAAAGTAAAATGCTTTTTCTGATATTCTTTTTTTTTTTTTTTTTCCAGTGATAAGTGAATGTCTATTTAAAAAAAAAAAAAAGAGAGAGAGAAACACTTTTAGGGGCTTTCTGGTTATTTTTAATGAAGAATTGTGACCATCTTCTGACAAGTTCTCTCTGTCATCACTTACAATGGCAAACAGTTGATATTTAACCACAACAGATACATTAAGACAAAGGCCTAGCAGGCAGTGATGTAATACAGTAAGCTCTTAAACCATCCAAAAGTACAGCAGCTTTTTCAATAGGCCTGGTACTACAAGAG